CAGTGCCACAATGTCATAAGTGACAGTCCGGGCTCAGCTAAGGCTGGATTCTGACTAGGTTAACAGAAAGATGGCTCCCGAACAAATAAAAACCTAAACTAAGCATCCCTCAGAAACTTGTGAAGCAGGTTTCTCTCTGTCAAGAAGAGCCATTACTTCCCTTTCCTTCCCTGTGACCAAATACCTCCAGCAATGGGGATTCTAGTTTCCTAGTAACACATGTGAAGTCCCCATGCTAGCTCCCAAGCTATTTTGGCTTGCACACTTCCTTTTGCTATTTTCTCTGTCTCCTGAGGGATAGCCATGGCAGTTTTGAATTTCCCCAAATAACCCTTTCTTCCTGCCCACATAGTAGTCCAGTTCAGTGGCTACACTGTGCCCTTGCTTACAATATCAACTATCTCATGCAAACCAGCAGCAAGTGCCTTATAATCAAGACTTCATTTATTCTTCACCAAGAACCTCTGAGGTAAAACATGGGCTAGAGAGGATAACTACCTTACTCAAAAGTATACAACTAGTAAGTGCTGAGCAGAATGGACTCCATTCAGCTCTCTCCTCAGTGAGGCTGAAGCCAACAGTGGAGTGGAAGAAGACATGGCATAGTGGAAAACACACTATGGCCTGCTTCTGCTCAGTAGGGCAGCTGTCAAAGCTTAGAGAGTTTTTAATCCAAATAGAAACTCAGAAGACAAAAGCCCCTATTATACAATTTTAAACATCAGTAAAGAATTACTATGAGAGCCCTTTTGCAATGTTCTATCTTTTGCCACCTGCTGGACTATTTTAGGGTAAGGCTCTGAAATACAGTAACACTTATGCCCAAGTTGGAAAAGATGTAATATTTTTGTATAAACACAACATGGGTAGCCAAACAATAAACAGATAAATACAGCAGGAGTAAGATCTGGTAAAGCTCCTATTAACTGGCTGGTTGCAACAAAGGCAACATCAGGTACATCAGCAGGTTTCAGCGACAGCAGCAGATGGAGAACTTATTGCCAAGAAAGGTAGAGCAACGGATGGAGGCCATATCAACCTGGTTAGTGAAATGATCTCAGTTATACAGATGGCCCCTGTTGGATGGGTCCTCATTTGCAGGCCTCTTCTTGTTTCTGCACACACACACACACACACACACACACACACACACACACGGAGAGACAGAGACAGAGACAGAGAGACAGAGGGGGGAGAGAGACAGAGATGGGGAGAGAGAATTCTTAGATATTTATCATAAACTGGGATGTCCATCTAGAGTTTTAGTTCTCAAAATGCCAAAATGTAGCCTATGCATTCCCAGGGATACCTAAAGCCATTCCACACAAGGTCAAAAACCCTTCCCTTATAAAGCTATTGAATAATTTTCCTTTTAACCATGTTGACATGTATATGAATGGTGCAAAGTATGGTGGGAAAACTGTAGGTTTAGTGGTATAGGTCAGAGCAATGGCCTCAAACTCCATACTACTCACTACAGTCATCACAGCCACATACACTAGCAATAAAAGAAGTTTCCACTCGAGAATACCCATACAAGATTACTGATTTTATTAAACCTAACTGTCAAGTAACATCTTTTCAATATGGGAACTGGATGGGGACCTCTTGCAATGCATATGATACTGGTCTCAAAGGCTCAAAGCTGACCTGCTGCTTTTGTAACGGAATATCCTCCTTCTTATATAAAGCAAAAGAACAAACAACAAAGACTGGGTATTAAGAAGAGTCATTTGGAGAAAGAAAGGGCTCAGGTATGACAGTGTAACAGGAACTCTTCAAAACACCAGAAGTGAAACAGACAAGCAGAGCTCTGAATGGACAGGCTGATGAGCTTGACAATGGCATTACCAAATGTGGAGAGCTTCAGGACTCAGTGAGGGATGTTTCCCCAATGACCTGTGCATCCTGTTACGGAATCCTTCATGTGTGAAAGGTTCAATCCAAATACAACACAAACAGGTAGATTTTAAAGTGACCCAGCAGAAAAGGGTCACTGAAATAATTTTAGGTTGCATATGACAGCAATCCTTACCTAAAGGTTTGTTTCTTGATTTTTAGTCTAGTAGCAAATAATACCCCAAATTATTTGATCATACTATTAACATACTCTGCAGGACTGCTGCACATTCTGCAACCCCAGCTACCCACCACAGGATGAATGAAGAAACAGATATGAAAATCTGTCTCCTCAAAATTCAGACAGTCAAGTCAATGTTTTTATTCTCACTAATGGTCTATGGTTGGAAATAACAGTTATTTTCTATAGAAGCATATTAACCTGGAATGAACTTCCAATGTCATTTTCAACAAAACAAGCATTTTTTTTTTAACATTTTCTAGTAAGATACAGTGCTTAAACTGCGAATGTGGTCAACAGATGTGGATAGAAAGGTCCCTGAGAATCATCAAGTGGAAGGTGTTGCAGCAGCAGTGTGTGCCCTGCTCGGCCAGGCACAGCGCACACGGAGCTGTGTCTTGCCTGCTGTAATCAAGCACCCACTCACTGGGAGGTGTTGACACTTCACTGACCATTCCATAAACAACACGGGATCCTTTACTGGTGGCATGCTAGGCAACAACCAGAAATTGCAAAACAGCATTTAAGAGGGGATGAATGAAATCCAAAGGAACATAAAGGCAGAGAAAAAGATAATTTGGTAACATCCCAAACAGTAAGAGCTCTGCTGCTCTTCTGTCAGAGCACAAAGTGTGCACTGAAACCAAAGTACACTGAAGCCACTGAAGCACTCAGTGGCCTGGTGTCTGTTCTCAGGGGTAAGTGGATTCTCAGCTTTCGAGGAGGCAATAAAATCCTGTTTATTCACACATGGAAGAGAAACCCATGTCAAGATTGCTGAAGAAGCCCAGCCGCCAGCCTCTAGTCAGACATTCTCAGCTCTGCGACACTGCTCCAGCTACTCTGCAGGAGGCTATTACTGAACAGACTTGTCATTCCAATGACATGAAGCAGGGTTCAGAATGGGACTGTGAAACAGGTCTAAGTTTAAACAAAAAGATATGCTGATAAGAAAGCACTCACACAAATAAGCAGTTACATAGCTTTTTGTACACACACACACACACACACACACACACACACACACAC